AGCCGGCACATTTTTTCCGACAGGCAGTCTCGTGCAACATCACTTGTCTCTCCACCCACGCCACAGACCTTATGCAACAATTGGTTCTCTTACGCGTTTCTTCAGTTTCTTTCTTTCCTTTGTACTTGTTGCTTTCAGAGATGAAAAGTGCATTGTAGCACTGTGCACACTAATGCACAATATTCATTTTCGGAAGTTAACACGGGGAGGGGTGCGCAATGCTGAAGGTTCACCTGGGGTGCCAAACACCCTTGAAACGGTCCTTCATGTACTGAACCCTCAGTAACACAGACACAAAACGGTTATCATTTTCAAACTACAACTGCTCTCCCTACAGTTTCTGATAAACAAATCAGTAGAAAAAAAGAGTAAAACGTATTTTCATACACTTTCAGTGATACTAGTAGTGATAATAGTAGAAAGGGCGCAAATCTGACTGAAATTCACTATAGTTTCTTTCTCGGATAAGATCAGTAGGTAACAGCACATGAATAAATATTATCTCACGTAGAAACCATTTCTGTGATCTACTGCTACGCTTTGGAGGAACTGGATTCAACTAGTTCAGGGCTCTTGTGTACACGGTAATGAACCTTTGAGTACCATAAAAGAAGGGTTAATTTATTGGTCAGCTAAGCGATTATCAGCTTATAAAGGACTATTACAAATACAAGGCACGCGTCTTCTAGTTCTGTAATTTGCTTTGGAGGTAAAGGCTTTTCAAATTAAGAGATGACTTAGTGACTTTTCACTGCAAAGCTAAGACGCAGTTGGCAGACGGCGTACCAGAGCGTCTCTGAACATTAAACATAATTAGACATATGTATAACAAAGCGTGTAACCTTGGAAAGTAGCTGAAACATGACACAAGCACCTGGCTACCAAAATAAAAAAAATGAAACCCCTTTTTTGTTACAGTGTCGGACACTTAATCCTAAGGTTGATATTTATTCAGCTTCTCAAGAAATTACACATTATAAAACCGGAATTTTCATCACCGTGTTTACACAATTAAACTACTTCTCAGCGATCCACTTCAATATTATCTTTCAATCTAATTACATATTAAAAATAATATATTTTCGGCGACGCTTTTAACCAAAATATTGTGTTCTTATTTTCCTTATGTGTCCCACCCATCTCGTCCTTGATTTAATCTTCCTAGCAATATGAGACAAGATTGGATTAGAAAATTCCTTGTTTGAAACTGTAGACGGACGGACAGAGAGTCATGCTTTTGAGGTTTGATACTGACGTTAAAAAATCATATAACTCAAAAGTGTTTTTAATTTCTTTCACGTGATATTAATAAAAACGATAATTAAATAAAACTCTCTCCAAAAGAAACTACTTGCGAGAGATGACGTGGATGGAGGCATAATAACGGACGGATGTAGAGACGCGAACTCCATGAACTGTCGCAAGAAGGCGCTAGCGGTAAGATATCTGTTGCACTGTGATGGAATTTGACGTTCCGCAAACTCATTTTGCCATCTGAACACCAACTGCTGAAGAGGACCTGGCATCTTGGGGTTGATTACTGATTACTCAGTTGAAACACAATTATTGTCTTCAGAAATCGAATCCGAGAAACGGTAGTCTAATTTGAGTGGTCAGCCTTTCAGCTAGCCCCATCTTGCCTGCAGCTGTGACCCCTGGGATATGGGTAGAGCCTATTTGAATGGAGTACTTAATCGCATTTCACCTTCGCTCCCTTATTGTTGCCAGTGGCCTGGCCGTTTGTTATAGCAAACAAAACAGCCAAGTAGAAATGGGAGGCACAATAAGGCAGTACTGGACAACTCCGGATCAGAGTGGTACACATTGTTTGCATATTTCTCTCCCTGTATTTCTTTCTTCCTCTCTCCCTCCTCCAATTTTCAGTTCATTTCTTCCTTTAATGTTGCCCTGCCTGTTTTCTTGTTTCTCGTTGTTATTCTTTTACTCCGGACAGAACACAACTCGCAATTCCTTTTGGTTTCGTGCGGTCTACGAGGTGTTTCTTTCCTTCTCTCTTTCTTTCTTTTTCTGTTTGTATTTTACTTCATGCATGTGTCTCTTTCTTTGCTCCTTTTGTTCTTACTTCCTTCGTATTTCCTTATTTTTCACGCCATCGACAAGTCGGAATTGGCAGTTTGATAATTCTCGAGATTTCTCCAGAAATCAGTTTCTTATGATCTGAAACCTAGTTTGGTACCTCATTATGCCAATGTAGTACCCAAAAGCTGGATGAAGTCAAGTCTGGACTTGTTGGCTCAACATTGTGAACCACAATCAAGCTTTTAAGTTGCCTTCTGCTGCATTTTCTGCATTAAAGACATTCTCCGCCATTTCCTGTTCCACGTGTCTGTACAGTGCTTCAGAATGGCCATGAGCAGGTGTGACCCACATCAGGCAAACCTGTTTTCTTCTGGAGCCATGAAAGCGGACACGACCCATAGTCACTTTTGCTTATTTTAAAACTTCATCGTGCAGGGTACTTCTGTAACATCTGATATCACTGTGCTGAATAAAGACCGTCATTATACTCCTGCTTCTGCCAGTTGAGTCCAATATACTGTTCGTCGTCTGTTCTGTGCATTTAATTTAACATTTCGGTTTTTAAAAAAGGAGAAAAGGTAAATTTCCTTCGCTGAACGACAGTAAACATGTCCTCAATTTTATAATTAACACTTTGAATCCAGAACCAATCTTAAATTACAATTAAATATTCAAAACCTCGCCTCAAAGAAAACACAACCCATAACCACTACAAAGATCAATTGGTTCATATTGCAAGACAAAGGATGTTAAGACCACAGATAATACCAAGGAACATGGGGGAAAAGTAGCATACAGAATTCTGGTGGGGAAATTTTATAGAAAGTGACAACTTGACAGAGCGAAATGTCACACGCAAATGGGAGAAGAAAAAAACAAATTTAAATGGAAATTAGTGAATCGGAATGTAGGGACTGAATTGTTTTCCACTGGATCAAGACTATTGAAACTGTCACATGGTGAGTGTTACGGCTGTGACAACGCTTCGCGTTGCACATCAACAGTAATTTCTTTAGCACGTCAACAGCTATCGAATGTGTATCAGCGAGTAAGTCTGTTTGGCCAGTTTACCTAGACTGCGGGTGGCTACTAATAGACATACGGACAAAGAGACAATACAGACAGAGAAACAGACGGACAGATGAACGAACAAACGAAGAGAGAAACAGACAGACAGGCAAACAAATGTTTAAAGATAGATAATTAGACCACACATATATAGACAGATTCATAGAACTGGGCAAACACGGGATGTTCAGTTACTTGTCTCTTGGCTGGCTAGTAACGTGAATTGTTAGATGGTACATATACTATGCAACCCTGAAAATGGAGAAAGTATGTTTCTCCGAAACGTTGGCATTTACCTACGAGACCACACGGCGTCAGAAGGCAGAACATCATCTTCAAGTAGCTATGCTCAAGACGCGTCAACAGACCGGCTAACACATTTCCCCCTCCTGTATTTCACTGGCCACAACAACCACAAAGAACAAATGATGTAACCTCTGCGCTATAAATGTGTCACCAACGTAATAAATACGAGATGTTATACGAATTAAAATAAACGTAAACAGATTCCACGAGGTAACTTCCATATGCGATATCCATTATTCACGCAGCGAAATGTATTTGGCAGACATGAAATATTGTTTCCGTTTAAGACTTGCAGATACGGAATGCGATATGGAATCTACACCGGCGTCACTGAACTATTCCAAGACCACGTGACAAACGAATGTCAGACGGGACACAGCTACTGCTGCCTTGCAACCAGTGGCGCGGTAATGGGGTAATTTATTGTTGTATGGCAGCCTGTGTTGCTCTTGGTGGCAGGGCGGCACTACAACGCCTACACAATGATCAAAAGAGTGTGAATCCCACTGGAAGCATGGATGTCTGTCTTGTTCTGCGAAGGCAGAGGTCTTACGACGGTCTGACCCTCTGCTGAAGAAGTCATGCTACTTGTACGAAAAAGGATTTATAAAAACCGAGGTTCGCATTGAGCTGTATCATCAATGAGATGAACAGGCAGTACAAGACTTCCCTATAATCCAATCCCCCAACGGAGACCAAACGAGTTCTTATCTTCCACTGAAGGAGTCTGCCACTGGTCCTCATGATTCAGAAAACAATATGACGAGGAGTCGAAGTGGAAGCAGAGACAGGGAACAGCGAATCTTTGCGATACGCCAACACTCCAGTTCAGGCAAAGAGCATTATTGATTTGGCGTCCACGAGGAAAGGTGGAGTCGGGTGACATGATTGATGCATTATGAGATGTTACTATCCTCTTTGTCGGAAAACCAACAGAAACAAAAACTGCAAAACTCCAGTTCACTGTCCCGTGAAGTAAAGTAAATCTGTCCCGCCATGTGCCATGTAGGCTCTTGGAGGGAGAGGTGATATAGCTCTTATTCA